AAAAAAAAAAAAAAGAAAAAATTAATTTCAATATCGTGGAGGATTTACGAAATTTCTCTGCAGGATCGATCGACAGGATTTTTATGAAAGCGTGTGTTCGAGGATTTCCATCCATCCAGGAAGCTCGGCCGTAGCAACCCCGCGTCGGGTGAATTTGTATATTGGAGAAAAACAACCTCCGACGCAATGTAGACCCTTTTCCGGTACAGCGTGCTCGTTCAAACACACGGTATAAATAGAATTTTCATGGAAGTATGGCAAACTAAAACGAAACGTATAGACAAAACGCTCGACCGATTCCTCGATATCTCGTTGAAAAAATTCGGCAACATCGTAGCGCTTTGACGAAGTTTTGCAACTCTACATCGCGAGAGTTTGTAAAGGGAATCGCGATTAACCAGCACCAGGGCTGTGCGTTCGAATCAAACGACCACTGTCTCTCTCTCAACTAGCACGTTTAAAAATTCTTCAATGTACCCGCACCCTGACACGAGGATATTTGTTAAGGAAAAAAAAGTCAGCCCGTATGTATGCAGCCTGTACCGTGCCAACACCTTGGATAAACATCTAACTGCATCATAACGGACAGCGAATACCCTCATGAATCACTTAACACGCTCGTCCAGTCCAAGAATTCCAACAGAATTCCAAAAGAAAGAAGAGAAGATGTTACGAATTTGCAAATCGTATGTAACTGTTTTTCTTTTTTTTGTTTTTTTGTTTTTTTCCCCACTGTATCGGGAAGAGGAACTTCGTGATCGACACGCTTCTCACGGAATTAGACTTTAATTTGTGAGGTAGCCGAATTTCTTTTCCGGGACTCGTAAAAAACAGCTCGTAAAGCGTGGCCTCGCTGTCCCGGAACTTGCTTCGATCAATCCCAGAGGCGGTGTACGACGTTCTTCCTCCGTTTGCCCCTGGCAGCCGCTAACGATTTATTTCGACGAGCCTCTCCGATTCGGTATCAACGACTTTTCGATCGTAGCGGCCAAGTTGCAACCCTTTTCCTCGGGGCATTCGGCCCGAAATCATCGAGATAAAGGAGGTGTCGCGCGTGCGACACGCGGCAAATGTCCCGTGTCCTCTTCGTCCGCTTTGTGGCTGGGTGTTCGTTCCAAAATTTAGGTTACCGAACCCCGATTAACCCTTCGCGCGATCCTCCTCCTTCTGTGACCTGCTGCGTAAGCAACGGACACTCTGAAGGCGTTAACACTGTTTGAGTAAAAACGGAGATGCTTGAAAGGATCTCTTTCTTAAATTTTTTTATTTTAAGAGAAAATCATCTCTCGCCGATTTAAACAACTTTGTAATTTCGTCTCTCTCTCGGGTTACATCTTCGTTCGATCGAAGTTTCGTCGATTCGAAGGGAACAGGAAAGTTGCGCGCGAAAGAACGGGAAGAAATTTTCGCTGGATTTTCCCCAACTGGATGGGAGAAAATGGTTGGTTAATTGCAAGCAATCCGGCGAGGGTAGCGAAGAATGTAACTAGGAGTACGCGGAGGAAAAAGAAGGAAGCAGAAGAAGGCGAAAGCTTAGCTTTCGGTCGAAGCAGGTTCGCAGCATCCCCTTGTTGCTTAGGCATCGCACGAGGGGTTGCAGCCCCGCGGCGTATCGCGCCTGCGTGTTCTCCAATCTCCCCGCCCCTCCTGACGGCATCTCCCACCACTCGAGAAACGCATCGAAATCTTTCGTACTTCGTCTGGTACTCGGTCAACTAACTCGCTCTCTCGTCTCTCTCGTCTCTCTCGTCTCTCTCGTCTCTCTCTCTCCCGGTGCTCTCGGTCCTCTTTCTCCCTCTCGGTCGGCGTCTCGTTCGCTTTTTCTCGCGTACACGCGGCGGCGCGAGCGGCGCGGAGAACACGAGAGGGAGAGAGAATAAGAGACGTGCCGTACGAACGTACGCTCGGGTTCCCCTTTCCCTTTTCCCTTTCCCTTTCCACCCGATGGTCCTGGGTATATCCTGAGTTCCCGCCATGACGAACGGGATGACACCCGAGAATTGCCGAACAGGGCCGAATCGCGACCGACGGCCGAAACGCGGGCAGCTGCGACTCCGTACGGACAAAGAATACTCTTGGAGCATACAGTCACCGCGCGGCGAGCACACTCACCACGGGGCAGTCCGCCGAACCAAAGGTACAGTGTTTTGATGCCGTCGTCCATCAGAGAAGCCGGCTGACGTTTTGGCCTCGTAAATATATAATGTGTTGCGTATTTCTGCTCGGTGCTATTCGTCGCAGGATACCACGGAGTGCGCACGTAGTACACGAAGCTCCGAACGTGAACGTGTGTTGTACGAACGAGAGAAAGAG